AAACTTCTGCTTGGAAAACCTGTGGGCCATGTAACTCTCTGTCACTTAATACTTAGCCACTACAATCATATTCATAGTTACTGAATAGTATCTATGTGGTAACTCCAAAGTAAAATAAAATACACTTAGAAGTGCAATACTAAACAGGCAGAAAATGTTTGTCACATACGTGTAACCATAACTTGGCCATTTTGTGTTCACTTTGCACTGAGACAGTGTCACGAAGGAATCTCTGTTTAAAGGAATCTCACTTTTCCAGCAGTGGTTACACAGACACTATTTCTTGCGTTCAGCTGGAAGTCTGATCAGTAAAAATGAATGCTTCTTTTCAATGTAACTGAAGAATTTTCATTAAAATGAATGCTTTCAGTGAAACTGATTTTTTTCAGTGAAAATGCATGTATTCTCAGACTTATTTTCAAGATCTTCACTAGATCACCAAACTAATCATAGAGATCTTCCCCTATAATTTCCCACCTATTCCTTAGTCAAATAAAAGAAAAGATAGAAACAGGTAAAGAATAGAAAGCCCAAAAGCTTGTCCCTCTCATATCAGATGACTTCGCAATAGTAAGAATGGGCTATCATTTGCTGCTAACAGTAATAACCAGCTTGCAGAATGCAGCCACTTGTACAAGTAGAGGTAAAGAAGGTAAAGGTTCCCCTTGACATTTTTAGTCCAGTCGTGTCCGACCCTAGGGGGCGGTGCTCATCCCATTTTTCAAGCCATAGAGCCAGCACTTGTTTGAAGATAGTTTCCATTGTCACGTGGCCAGCATGACTAGGGAGAGCCATTTTACCTTCCCACCGAGGTGGTACCTATTTATCTACTTGCATTTACATGTTTTCGAACTGCTAGGTTGGCGAGGAGCTGGGACAAAGCAACAGGAGCTCACTGCGTCTGGTGGATTCGATCTTACGACTGCTGGTCTTCTGACCCTGCAGCACAGGTTTCTGTGGTTTAGCCCACAATGCCACCATGTCCCATGGTACTAGTAGAGACCTAGTACTAAAGAAAGGGATCCAACATAAATCCCTTCTTTAGTGGGCTTTATAAGAAATGATGAGTTGTTATATCCTGTTATTCCCCTTATTCTGGCAGTATTTCTTAAATCAGCTGACCAGGCAAGTGATGTGAGGCTAGCTAAGTTTCACATTTTTGAGCATCTTTATGTATAAACACCACAAAAAATTTAGGATCAACTCATTATGAAGAAATAATACTTTGTTAAAAAGCAGAACACCATGACCATTGCAAAATTTGAAATATTTAGCTTATTCTGCAGCTCCAATGAGATACTGGACAGTGTTTGAACTGATAGGGAAAATGGATTATTTCCTCCTTCTAGCCCCAATATTTTTAGGTTTTGGGTGCTGTCACTCAACTGTGATGGGCATTTCTAGACTCTGAGCCATTCTTTAACCAGAGACAGATCCAGACAAAGCCAGACATACAGCTGCCAATTTCACTGTGGTTCTCTCTGGTTAAAGATTGGCACTCCTGGTGGCAGAGTCTAGAAATGCCTGTCACAGTTGAGCTTCTCCAGAAAGATCTTAGATATTCCACAGTACTGAAGGAAACTTATCAGTTATTTAACTGAAGTCTTTGCAAACATCTCAGCACCAAAAACCTAAAGATATTGGGGGTGGAAGGAAGAAATAATCACATTTTCCCTATCAGTTCAGACACTATCCAGTATTCCATTGGAGCTATTTACTGTAAAGGTAAAGGTTCCCCTTGACAATTTTTTTTTTGTCCAGTCGTGTTCGACTCTAGGGGGCGGTGCTCATCCCCGTTTCCAAGCCGTAGAGCCAGCGTTTTGTCCAAAGACAATCTTCCGTGGTCAAATGGCCATTGCGGCTTAGACACGGAACGCTGTTACTTTCCCACCGAGGTAGTCCCTATTTATCTACTCGCATTTTGCATGCTTTCGAACCGGTAGGTTGGAGGGAGCTGGGACAAGCGATGGGCACTCACTCCGTCATGTGGATTCGATCTTACGACTGCTGGTCTTCTGACCCTGCAGCACAGGCTTCTGCGGTTTAGCCCGCAGCGCCACCACGTCTCTTACTGTAGAGTAGGCTAAATATTACACATTTTGCAATGTTTTCCAGTGTCACAATAAGGGATCATACTCCATGCAGAACATCATCTCATGAGGTGGAGCAACTCAGGCTTTGCCCCAATCACCCATCTGGTGGGACAAAACTTTAGAGAGCATCAGAATTCTGAGAGGAATCTGTTGGTGGGTCTTTCTTAGGTAAACAAACAGAAACACCTTCTGGCTCTATTCACTCTCCTTTTTTGTGAAAGCATAAACTTTTTCTTTTGGGGTCACGCTACATTCTGTTCCTGTTCTCTTTCCTCATTCCCATGCCTCACAGCAGAGTGGATAAAAGATGGTGTCATTTGCCACATGTACCAAAACGTCTAATGTACATCTTCCTGCCTTATACCTGCTAACCACAGTGGCCTTTCTTCTATCAGGATACAGCATTCTTATTTTTTTTAAAAAGAGAGAGATACAAATAATGTATTCTCAAAGGCTTTCATCACCGGCATCTAATGGTTGTTGTGGGTTATGTGGACTCTTTGGCCATGTTCTGAAGGTTGTTCTTCCTAACATTTCGCCAGTCTCTGCGGCTGGCATCGTCAGAGGACAGGAGTCAGAACTCTGTCTGTGCTATCCTTAAGTGCAGTTTGTTTGGATAGTTGAGTATTTATAGCTGTGCGGTCAGCTTTTGTCCTTTTCAGGAGATCGGTGATTGTGGTGATCAGCATATTTTTTTGTTGTGGGTGTATTGTTGTGATAAGAGGGAGAGATTATCTGTCACTGTGATTGATGGGTGTCATTAGCTGGTCTTTTGCGTGCAGTGATCACCGGTCCTTGTAGCTCGGTAGAGTTCGCTGACCTTTTACAGGCTGTATAATATAAATACTTAACTATCCAAACAAACTGCACCAGAGTACAGACACAGTTCTGACTCCTGTCCTCTGACGGTGGCCGGCCACAGAGACTGGTGAAACGTTAGGAAGAACAACCTTCAGAACACAGCCAAAGAGCCCGAAAAGCCCACAACAACCATCAAACACAAATATTCCTCTCTCCCAGGCAGGTTATAATCTCCTGCTTTGCTTCCAATATTGTGATTTTTTCCTCAGCTACTGATGATTATCTAGCTATTTCAGATAATACTAGCCCGCATCAGGCAGAAATTCATTGAACTCACACATACATATTAGCCACACCCAACATTTGCAATACACTCACTAGTATCTACGAGTATAATTGATGTTGCTATTAACTTTTTGTGTGTTTGCACTTAAGCCCTCTTGGCACTGGACATCATCCAACCCCACATTCATCCCCCTATCCATCCTGTCTGTATTTTGATTAGCATATAAATAAAGTAAAAGCAATTGCTCATGAATAGATACTGTTTTCAAATGAATTAGCTATATTCACAGCTTGATAATTTGATAGACTTTTTTGGAAGTATATGTAATAGTTGATCAGTGACTGTTCTGATACTAGCAACTGTTGGCTCCCCCATCCCCCCTGATATTACTAACGAACCTAAATACAAAGAATGAATGTGAAAGATGTATGGTTTAAGTAAAAAAATAAAAGCACAACAAAGAAAAAGAAACAGATTGATCAAAAGCATCGAGGCTAGTATCGGTATGACATGTAATGGTTTTGTAATATGACTCAACCAACTTTTAAAGCCAAAATCATGTCTTACACCTTACACTAGAAAAGTGGGATGCTGTGATTTTCACATAAGGAAGATATATAACATTCCAAGATGCTAAGCTTGAAGGTATTGTCACTTGATGGTCTATTAAAGAACAAAAAGGAAAAGACACATAGGCTTGGTGATTGGTGATTGTCTCTTAGGAAGAAAATTTCATAATTTCTATTCTTGGGAATCCATTCAATTTTTCTTTGTCTGCTAGCTATGGAAAAAAAGTTCTCTTTATTTCCTTGTTTCTTTTCATTCAAACAGACTATGTCACTTCATCTGTGATGTAAGATTTAATAGTGAAAGTGAAAAATATAGCTATGAGAAACAGTATGTCTTGTTTATCAAATCAGTTTCTCGCTTACCCCAGAGTAATCCAAATGCATATAAATGAAATTCTAAGAGCACAATCCTATATATATATACAGTATGTATATGTATAGCATGTGTTTATATATATGGTGTGTGTGTGTGTGTGTGTATCTATCTACCTATCTACATACAGTATGTATGTATGTATGTATGTATGTATGTATGTATGTATGTATGTATGTATGTATGTATGTGTGTGTGTGTGTGTGTGTGTGTGTGTGTGTATGTGCGTGCGTGCGTGCGTGCGTGCGTGCGTGCGTGCGTGCGTGCGTGCGTGCGTGCGTGTGTGCGTGCATGCATGCATGCTGTATATAGGACTGCAGCCTAAAACATCTGACTGGTTGCTATGCCCATGTCAGAACAAAAATGGCTGGTGGTAGCAGATAGGGGCTATTAGTATTCTTCACACAGCCTGATTTTGCCACTTATGCCAACTTTAAGGAAGAGTACAAAAATCCCTTTTTAGACTAATATAGAGATTGTGCATGTTGGTGGTTTTAAAATTATAATATTGGACTGAGTATGGGCTAAATGTATTATTTTACATACTTGAAACATTTTACTGCACAGATTTTATCCTATCCCTGTATTAGTTGTATTGAGTTATTTCATTTGTGAGATAAACATACAATTTTAGCCGCTTGAGAGTTCCTTAGTGTTCTACAGAATTTTCATGTTATTCCATAACTTTTTAAAAAATTATTAACACTCTTCTTTTCAAAACAACAAATCAAAACTGCCTTTGTTATTATTCATTTTTAAGATGCAGAAGCAAGGTTTAACACAACTAATCAATTTTCCAAGATCAACTGTGAAGAAACAGTTCAGGAAAACACATGAATGCTTTACGAGATTCCACTGGGAGGAAAGTTTATTTTTACCTGATTTGTTAGACACCCATATAATTGCCTCTGATGAGATGTGGCTCGTATTTCCTACTGCAATTGTTAATGGAATCTGCCACAAGTAGCTGCAAGACAAAGGAGGGGGATCTAAGAACAAAAATACTGAACTGGTTCTTCTCACTTAACAGCAATCAGGGATTACATCAAAGGAATCAAACAATTTCAGCAGCAGAGCAAGGATTTTGATTCTAACAAGTTAACTTTGCCTTTATAGTGAATTTGCTACTGGCAACAAAGCAATGAGAAAATCATTCATTTTTCCAAAGAGATACTGATGCCTTCTTTTACATGCTCTGATTACAGGATAGTTTCTGTTCAATTAAAGTTACAAAACAGAGAGGAATTACTTCCAATAGCAAGAAGAGTACAATTCAAATTAATATAAGGAGAATAGAGAATCAAACATAAGCATTTATTTTGGTTTAAGTGACAATATAGATTTCTAGTAATTCTATTTTTAGTATCTTCTTAAAGCCTTCTGACAATACAATTTCATCCTCAAATGCTTGCAGCCTTGTATAGTTAGTCGTAACTCTATAAATCAAGTGTAAAATGATACAGTTTATACCCATTTTACACAGATGTACCATATTGGAGAAATCAAATGATTTGTTACAAGAATGACTTTTTACTGATTACCCTTTTTAATGTGAGATAGATCCTGCAGAATGAACTGTAAGCTCCATTCTCAGCTATAAAGATAAAAAGAAACTCACACATCTACAGCAGTTGTTCCTTTCAAAGTTGCTGCAAACTAAGTCTGACATATATTTTGATGCAGTTGGTGGTTACATCAACACTATGACTAGTATACTCGGGTTTAATGCTCATTTGGAAAGGCTTTCCCCAGATATGGCTCTGGTTAGTGTTTCTCATATTATAGGTCATGAATATAGAGTGCTACTCCACAAACATACACATACTGTACTGTACAGCCACAGAAGTTACAATTTCAGATTCAATTTGGTGGGGGCAAGGAGAAAAAGGTTTTAGGAGGCTGAAGGCAGGATTCTCAGCAAGGTTCAAAGGCTCATTTTAAATACATTCAAAATGAAATTGAAAAAAGTAATGTATTTTCATTCTATTTGTTGAGATTACTCTTATACTGCATGGTAACTGCAACATACTGTCAAAGGTCAAACAATAGCAACTGATTTGTGTCTTCTGTGTGTGCAATAAGTACAAAGATCCATCTGGCTGTGTTTCACAAAAGTGACCTTTTCAATGGACACTGCACTGCCTAGATGCAGGTGCTTCTGAGAATAAGAAGTCATGGAAATTGGGAATTTTTCATGCCTGGCGCAAATGATGCTACTGTACTTCTAATGTGCCCCTTCTTCTTTCAAAATATTCTTATGCCCTGGATCATACTTGGCACTAAACTTCCGCCAACGTAATTCCTATAGGCCAACATAAATCCAACAGGTCCCTTCCCGTCTCTTGCTCTACCTGAGAATGTAGGAATATTTAGATTGGCAATCTGTCTGGGAATGATGGGAGTTGAAGGTCAATTTCTGAGAAGACAATGAGTTACAGAATCTAGAGGCAGATTTCCCAGCCTTCTTGTAATGCTGTAATAGACGTGGCATTTGCAGGGCAAAATCAGGCCAAGCGAGACAATATCTAATCTGTTCTTTTTTAACTAACCAATTTTTTAAACTCTAGTAGTACAAATAAAACTTTTAAAAATATAGGGGAAGAAGAGAAAATGCAATCAGAAGACAGAGAAGGCTGGGATGGGTGAAATATAATGAAAAAATATGTGGAAAGGGTTCCTCCTCCCACCCATTGATATTACCTATAAATGATATGGCCAACCTACATTCTCCAAGCAAGCACAAGTTTGGGGGTGGCGGAAAATGTTTTGTTAAATTAAATTGTTGTTCTACGCTGAGTGACAGAAATCTGATTTGTTGTGATGCTTTTTTGAGCATTAGCACAGCTAAGGAGAAACTGATTAACCCTGCTGTGGGGAAATGTTCTCAAAAGGAGAAATAACCCTTCCAGACTTTGACTCTTTGCCACTAAAAGGGAAATATATGACCATATTATTCACATGTGCCCTGCCCTCCCTGCCAAATGGAAAGGATAATGACAAGCCAAGTAGGATTCACAGAAAAGAAGCAATGCTATTAAATTTATTGGGAGGTCAGTGGCTTTAGATTATTAGGAAGGTCTGAAAGAGCTAACTAGTCAGTATATTAAAATACAAAGCAGTAAAAAAGGAGACATGATCACATATTGGTATGACTGGCCTTTTATTATGCCTGAAATTCAGAACATGGTAATGTGTTTAAACTTCATTGATTATACTGGATTCCAGCCCATCTTTTATTGCTACTTCAAGATAAAGTACAATGTAACAGATTTTAAATTGCATCTAATTATATGATAAAATGTGTACCACTGTTCTAAATTTACATTAAAGTAAATTTTACTTTTTTAAAAAGATGCTTATTGTGACACCTGAATAAGAAATAGATCTGCAGTAATGTACATACTCGAGTATACCAGCTTCCATGCTGACTATAAACAATGGTTGGGGAAGCTGTGGGTAGTTCTGCATTTTCTGACAGATGGCCATCACACATATGCCTCTTTTCTTTTTTTCTTGTCTTTTTACTCTAATTAGTATATTATACTGCACTGTGACATGGGGTCAGGAGCAATCTTGTGCTCCACGATCTGCCAGCAGTAGTCCCTGACAGACACTGCAACACAACAGATATACTTAAGAATGGCAGACAGAAGGGCCAAAATGGGATGAGTGTGATGTGGCATAGGGGAGAAGTACACCTATACAGTATTCTACGCATCTGAAGACCAGAACTCCATTCCCATCCACAACAGAATTTTGCAGCAGCCCCTAATCTGAAGCCAGGAATTTCAGCCCAATTAATGCCAACATGACAAGGGAAGAAGAATATGGTATAATGCTATATTCAGTTACAGCACACTCCTACTAGTACACATAAACCCCATACAGAGACACCATGATTTATATGACAAGAGATATGACACTGTGCTCCTTTCTCCCTAGTCCCATTCCATATATGTCTCAAGCTCACACTGGAAAAAAATTGATAGAAAACAATGGAGCATGGGCAATTTGCATGCAAAGGAACACCTTGGTTGCACAGCATGGATAGGAACTTCAGCACACTGCTAACACTTCTCTTCCTAGAACTTTTTCAGGCCCTGTGCCTCAGGACTTCAGACACAGACACCCAACAGCAACTCACACCCCACAACTTCTGTGTTGGAGATGCCAGAATGTAACAGTCCACATAGGCAAGCAAGGGAAGGGGAGGCACTTGCTGTAAAGCATAACTGCTGTGATGGTTTATTAGTGGCCTTGCCTTTGCTGCAGGGGACTACTATGTCCTATCTAAATATATTTCTCAAAAATGGAGAGGAGCATCCCCCATACTAAAGGGAGGAGAATATCCTTGTAAACAACTAAGCCTCTTTTTTTGGCCGAAGGCTTGCCATTATTCCCAACAATTGCCACTGCTGCTGAATATCCATGAGTACCTACAGAATCACAGACACAGTAAGCAGAAGAGTCAATACACAGTGTTTGGCTGCATCTTGCCCAAAAACCAATGTGAGTACAGATTTCGATAGTTTTTTCCCCTCAAGATCTTAACCCCTTTCTATAATATTCTATGAGGACTGTGGTGCTCCTAGCTCTGCTCCTGGGAATTATGGCATATGGGTGCTATCGTAGAGTGTGTGTTTAAACTGAGATGTGTGCTTAGGATGAGTCCCCAGCATTGTGACTTCATTTACCCTTTCTATGCCTGTGCAGCATGTGGGTGGTTTCACATAGGACTTGTTTGGGGGTTTGAAATCCCTCCTTCTGACTGCATTGACATGATGGTACATCCCAATGAGGAATTTTACAGCTCTGTAAAATTCTTTACCGCCAGAAGCAAGGTCTTCCTGATGCAAAGCAAAGCATAAACATATACTGCCAACCCAGGACTGGATTCCAACAATCCATGTAGTCTTCCAAGTACTTTAATAAAGCAGAAAACATCTTAATTTTGGCCAAGCCACATAGTTTGTACAATCTATGAATGCCATGGTTATGTGCAAAATTAAATGCAAGTACGCTTTCCAAAGTCCCAGAAAATTCTTCGCCATCCTGACTAGAAAGGTGAAGAATGTTGCATTTCCTTATACTTTCCCACAAGGATGAAACAAGTAAAAATTTACACCTCTAGATAAAACAACTGCTGTCATCTGAATAACTCGTAAAAACATGTGGCAGTAGAAGAAGGAGTAAACAGAGTTTTTACAAGAGACGGAAGTAAGCAATGGGATCCCTCAAATATCTGCAGTTGACTCAGAAGCCAGATAAACAAGGAAGTAATCAGGTTTGTAGATGTTACCACTACATTACGGAAGTTGATGAAACCTCAAATGGGCCGCGTACACCCCCTCAAATGATCCAATCTGGGCAAACACATAACAAATAGTGAATCAAGTTTCAATGCAAAGTACACAGGGGGGCATATTGGAGGAAATTCTGATGTCACCTGTATGTATATGTATCCCTATTGAGATCATAGTGATATGATTGAGAGAGAGAGAACTTGCTAAGTCAAGATGGGTACCTAAATGAAAGTAGGAATGAAAAATAAATGTATCCAGTAAAGTCACCAGAAGTAGATTGAATAAAAATATGGAGATTCTGGGATAGGTTTCTGGCAAAGCAACCGTTGTAACCAATCTAGTAATACAAACCTCACAGGGTGAATAATGTGAATTGCTATTAATCAGTTTGCATTTAGACTTGCATCTCTCATAAATTTTATCAATAGCTATTATGAATCATTAAGAAATATTACAACTTCACTAAGGTTAGATTTTTCAGTTCAGTGATAGCATCAATTCTTGAAAACAAAACAGTGCAAATGAAACAGAAACAAGTATCAGCAATTTCAAAAGATTCATTGTATGGCATTCTAACAAATGCAATTCATTTAGTAGTCCTTGTCATCTCTACCTAGTTTTTGAAAATCAATCAGCTTCTGCAAATAAATTATTTATTACAGTTATTTAAAAAACAGATTAGAAAAATACAGTATTAAAATCTGTGTTAGAACAGCTTTGCTATTTAGTTCCACTTAATTATATTGTAACCTGTTTTTCTATAACTGATCAGTACTTTTGTCCTAATCTATAAATATTATTACCCTAATGTTGCTATAGGTGAAGGTATTTCAGTTGTGATATTCCAGATATAACAACTAGTTCCTCTGTATGCTCAATACCTAATATTTGCAGAAAAGGTACTCACCTTGTTTCCCCGAAAATAAGACCTAACCTGAAAATAAGCCCTAGTATGATTTTTCAGGATGCTCATAATATAAGCCCTACCCCAAAAATAAGCTCTAGTTAAGTGAAACCCTGCCCTCCACCATTGTGCAGCAACCAGAAGATGACATGACTGTATTTGAATAAATGTAGATTGTTGTACATGAAAAAATAAAACATCCCCTGAAAATAAGCCCTAATGCATTTTTGGAGCAAAAATTAATATAAGCCCCTCTCTTATTTTTGGGGAAACACGGTAGCTAGTTCAATAGGATTCAGATTACCACTGTACAGTAGTGTAGATGGATAAAGGCATCTGCAGCTCAGCCAAAAGGCTGCATGCATGCCCCAAGCTTTCTTGCTAAGTTGAAATTGCTTTTTCCTTTGAAATTATTATTCTCACCAATCTTTCCCCTTGCTTTTTATTGAAGCTGCTCTATTTTTCACTCTTCCCAATTTCCTTCTTACTGCAAAGCGATTTTCTTCTAATTTTTCTGCTTATTAGAGCACATAGCCGTAGCCCTACTTATTATAACCACTTCAATAAATATGACTCTTCAATAGTCAGTGACATAAAATTCTAACATACATAAAAAGGGGAGTGGGTTATAATGAATACCATTGATCTGTTTGAATCAAAAATAGTGACATCCTTTATAAATAACATTAGAAGTCATGAAGGATACCTAAATTGGGGTCTTGGGTCTTTTTTTAGAAAAAAACTTCAAGAGAGGGGATTTCAAATAAGAGAGAGGCAGAGAGAGAAAATAAGACAGGGAGGGATAGGGAGAGAAAACCAAGATGGTGTTTGCACATTTATTATTTTTCATCAAACAGATTAAAAAAGTAATAAAACTAGAATTCAGTTACTTGCTAAGCTTTTATATCTTTTTCGTCCTGGTGGCAGGTGTTTAAAACAAATAATCCTCCATAAAGAAGTTTTGTTTTACACAAATGATGCTTTTTCTTTTGAAACAAAGTTTCTAGATCAGTGAGCCCGAACCCTGGGGAATCCCATTGTTTACTACGATTCCTAGAAGCCTTCACCAACAGATGTGTTGGTTGGGGTTTCTGGGAGATATAGTCTAGGAACATTTGGGTTCCACAAGGTTGGGAGCTACTGTTCTCGATAATGCAGAAGCAGCAGGAAAGCAATCCAGATGCTTGGATTGAAGTGTAGATAAAGTCAGCTCTATCTCTTCTCTAACTTCTGCTATGGTGCCTGGATGCAATCTTGGGCTGGATTTAGTTGACCAAACTGCACATGACCGCTGGTCAGCTGATGCCCACTAATCAAAAACTCCATAGGTTCTTATAGAGAGTGAGCTCCATTTTTTACTTAGCACACTTCAGGAATAGTTTATATGTATGTTATGGGAAAGTATCTTAAACATTTCCACGAAAAATAAGTTCCTAGGCATACAAGGAATCTCTATCTGGACTGGAAAGGAAAACTTTCATTCTAATACAAATTGATCTAATTCATCTTCCTCAAACTGAAATAATTTTCTTGTAGCTTTTGCACTTCTGCAGATTTGGCAATGCAGTTGTGTAACAAAAGTGTGTGCAAAAACAATATAGTAAGAAAAATTTTATATGCAGCTCCCTCAATTTATGCATTGTATGTGCACAGTTCTAACACTCAAAGGTACCCATTAGAAGAAATGCAAACAGAAATACAGTGGTGCCTCGGTTTACGAAGGCCTCGGTTAACGTAATTTGGCATTCTGGCTTATTTGATCTTTTTTCTTTATTTTTTCTTTATTTTTTTAAAATTCTTTCCA